GAAATAAATGAACGGACTCACCTTTTCACGTGCCATTATAATTCAGTCTCCTTTCATTGTTGTGGCTACGGAATGTTATCACAGTTGACAGATTCTGATTACAATTAAACTCGGTATTGACTGATGATAAGGTGATATAAATAACTGATAAAGCCAATTACCATTGATCGTGCTTTCATTAACAAGTTGGCTAAACGGGAGCGAGTTATGTGTTTTTATGAATGTCGCCCACATTCAGTTTTATGTAGATCTGTGACACCTGCATTGTTGCCCTACGTCTACGAACACTCTCACAGACTTTTTGCTGAATTCATCTTAAAGGACAGACGAAGTAATTGGCGATAACGAACACGGATAAAGAGAGCATGCTACTTGCGTGAATGTCGTAAGTTATTTTTGATTTCCATCAAGCATGTTCGGACAGTTAGGTTAAACAAACAAAAAAGTTCGGATATATACATTTCAGGAAGTCCCCCCTGTTTGCATATTTGAACATGTAATAACGATAATTGTTCTCAAATGTTATTTAACAATACGTTATTTTGAAGAGGATCACGAAGACGTCCGTGAAGAGAGCGACATATTCAAACGGGTTACTTTACATATATTGGCAGCGCTCCACGGGTATCGCGACACTTTTTTGCGTTACTTTTTCATTTCTGCTTTGTGCACAACCAAAATTCGAAATTAATCATGAATAAATTTGAAAGTCTATTTTCCGTTTTCATAATTAGGTAAAAAGGGGTTTTTCCATTTTACGTTACATGGTATTGCGAAGTCCTTAAAAATTCATTTTTCAGGTGCTGCTATAATAGTTTTTTTCGTATTTGCATCGCAGAAAAGCAATTATTTCTACTTAGGTATACACTGATGCTAGACAAATCATTTTTTATATGCAATAGCATGATACAGGCATATATCGTCATAAAAATTGTATTGCCGTCAAGGCTACCAAAACTGAGCCCAAAGTAACGATACCATTGAAGATAATGCAGGTATTCAGTGTTTGACAACGCTTCTACCAGTAACACCTTCTAATATAATTCGTTCCCACCCAGAGAAATCAAAAGACAGAGTCGAGGAGATCGGAACAGTGTATTTGGCGATAACCAAAATATCGGAATTCTCTGATCTAATCTGGCTAGCGATTGCGGTTGATGTTGAGCACGGCGTTACCACACGTGATCTGGTGCGGATGCCTGACCGAGCGCCTTCAGCTAGATGAGTCCACTAAAACATATGGTCAGCATCCAATGTCGAAAACTTACAGGGCTATTTATTTTGGGGATTTATTTACCGCTACAGATCACTCCCCCCCTAGTGGGTTCGTGATGACCCTAAGACATGTCCAGCCAGAAGTTTAAACCCAGCGAGTTTGTCGTTGGTAAACACCCTTCTGATAGCTTGCTAGGATTAGCAGCGTCTGGTAGTCTTTCCTTACTATATGGGACTGAGGTACACATAGTAAAAAAAGAAAATGTAAAATGAAAATTTCGGATTTATCTACCGCTAAACCATGATTAGATTTATTGTTTTTCCCTTCTTTATCACAATTTGGGCTGATTTTCACTGTTTTATTCGACTTTTATGGCAGGAATAGGCTTATAGTGAAAACATTAGGTGTCCTGAGTGTTGTAAATATTATATAAATGCTAAAGATGATAATGACACATATCAAGATGTTAATATCACTTTCTACAGTTAGATGTATTAGCCACCAAATGATTATATTACAGGAAATAAATCATAATCATGCGGAAGAGGTGTAATTATGTGAATATTTTACCAGAGATCAAGCTAAGATAGCTTTACTACCTCTTGTGTGGAGCTACATTGTTTTGGCTGCCGGTATTATTGCAAAAATACCTAATAGCAGAAATAAATACTGATATAAAGCTGTCACGAGAAAGCACTGAAAAGTACGATTCGATAGTCGAGATATCTTGATCTAAGGTGACCAGATTGTGTGAGATCCTATGTGATGATCTTCGGAAATCAACCAAGGCCTTTTTAGCTTACGTGCTGATGCCGTAAATGACAATTACTCATAACTTACGTGGGACTAAAGTAGAATATGCACTAAGAATTGCGGGTTACACAGGACGATTCAAAGTAAATTCACACAGTAGTCTTTATATATGTTCATCGTCTAAGTTTCCGAAGTGCAACCTGTCCAAAGAATTAAATAATACATTCCGTGTATGTTGTGACCCATACTTTCCTAAACAACGCAAGAGATAAAGGAAATAAGCGTGATTGACTATCCAAAGGAAGGGTGTGCTAAATGCACTTTCGATCTGTAATTGAATACTGGTTTCCGTTTTTATACTAGTTTCTGGTAATCATTTATACTGAAATAACGTTCCTGTCTATCTTATTTCCAGCTAGCTTCGCAAGTGTTCACAGACCTAACGGGAACAATTCCTGAGAAATAGAAGTTATTTATTGATGGATCATTTGTGCTAGATTCAAACTTTAATAAACGTTTTCATTTATAACGCATCAGTCTTTTAATTACGGCAATTCTTATCTATCGTGACAGGTCGGAATTCGAACTACTAGTACGGTACACCATGTTTAAGGTTGCAGTATTTAGTAAACGGTATGTATGACTAATATCGTGTGCGCCAAACTGGTAACTATTACACAAGAACGCGAAACATCCCTGTCTCACAGCCAGATAAGACTGCACAGTACACTCCTTGCCGTTACGCTATAAGAATAAGTCAATGGCCATATAAATGAATTTATGTAAAACTAAGGGGATTACAATATTAGAACTTCTTGTTATCAAGAAGCATAGCTATGGTCTGTATTAACAATGGATTCTGACGTTGTAGCTTCATCATTAGCACCGACTGAACTCATCACTTGTGTGCATATGTCTTCCGATGCTTAGAGGCATGAATGGATGAGTTTACTCGACAAAGGTTCACTAAGAGCATGGATTGAGTGGTAGTTGTTAGTGAACTTCTCTAGCAGATCATCACTCCCTGTAGAGATTGAGATGTTGTCCAGCGCACGAAGAACCAGGTCCATTACGTATTTTCTTGTCCACCGGTTGCTGTGTCAAAATAAGTCTACAAAACTTATAGAGATAAAGGAACACACATACCTCCACGAATCAGATCTTTAGAATGTGCATACAAAATATGACCACAGAGCAGCATGTAGTCATTGAAACGCTCACAAGCACATCGTGCACGTGAAGTATCAACAACATACATCATACCCTTGTCGTAGCACCAGATGTATTCTCCTTCTGTAAATTCGTGTCTCATTGTCCGAACACGTTTATAATTTACAGCTACAATTTTAGCTGCAAAAGATGTGAACTCATTTAGAAGAGTTCGAAATGACATTGGAACCTGGAATTAATGATACATTTAACTATATTTCTTACCTGAAGAATTGGAAAACGTTGAAGATCCTTTACAGCGTCATATGGACGCAAACGTAGGTCAATGTCTGTTTTACTCCAAAATTTCCAGAACGTCAATAGCAGGGAATCACCTCTTCTGAGACATTCTTTTAGATGTTTGTGAGCACTTTCGACACAGTTGTTTGTGTGGTTGCCCTGGCTTAATACATGTCGCCGGTAACAGCGAGTCCACATTGACTTCCTGGCGATCCAGTAATCTTTTATGTATTCACACGCCCGTGGAAAATGCGTCCTTAGATGTTCGTACTTCTGAGTAAATCTGAATATAATGCATTATGAAAAGCGAAGTTCACATATCAGACCGTCTAGTCTTCACAAGGTGTTCCAAGCATTTGCGCACATCAGGATTTCGGAACTACAGAAAATAATTTGTACAGCTAACACATACCTTCCTGAAAAATGCTCTTAAGACATGGAATGAACAAAGTATTATGTTAGAATGACTGTGCGTAGACTGCACAGCTGAAATTTCGGTCGCTGCCGAATCCATAATGAAAGTGCGTGTAGCATAAGTACCGCACATTATCTCTTTAAAACATTCCAATAGTTTTTCAACATCTTCGTGTCGTTCTTGACTGCAAAGAGCATACATAACAGTGTGCCCTTGCCCAAGACTATCAGCCACCACTAGCTGGACAGTGAAAAACTTTCAGATAAATTATTACTAATCGTTACTTACCCGACTTTATTGGTCTGATAAGTCGAACCAATACATACTACCTCCGGGAGCGCGTGGTAAACAGCTATTTGCTCTCTGCGGCTGAAGCAAATCATAGACATGTTCCCATTTTCATTGAATACTTTAACTTCAGTATTTGCTTGAACTCGCTGTAAAATGTCATTGATATTTTTAGTGTCTAAACTCAATTAATTACAATGTGAGTTCAACAACCTGGGTACAACTGTGGACGCATTCTGGCGATATCGTCCTTGATAAGCTGTTTATTGAACTTCCAAGAAACCAGATACCGTAAGCTACGAGTTGGTGTATTACTTATTAGAAACGTTCCTAAATACAAGCGTTCATTTGAGGTCAACTGTCGTTTCGATGGATCGACAGAAATATATCCTTCTGTGCAAGAATGGTTGTGCACGGTTTTAATAGAGGTGAGTTTCAACTCACGTTTACTGCCCGGACCCAAAATCCTGATTGACAATGGCAATATTTCGAAGTAAGGCATACGTAGATGACCGGCGTCGTCTCCTTTGCCTAGGTTGTGTTGGCGAGTTAGAAGTTGTATGCTCTTCAGAAGAATGATTATTACTATCATCATCTACTTCCTGAACGCAAGCATCTGACTCTGACGAACTGCGTTTACGTCCATATGTGCAGACATATCTCACGAAAAAGTACTTTAGAGTTGGATCATCACTGTTCTTTTTGCATACTGACATAACGTACTTAATATGCGTATACTAAAAAAATAATCATTAACCACAGAAGTCATATTACCTTATGTACTTCTTTCAGACAGGTCTCAAAATTTTCCCAACTTGAAAATCTTCGAGATAACATAATATCATTGAAGATTCGTCCTATTTCATGCATCATCACGATGGCATCGTCTTCGTTACTTGAAGAATGAACGTTAGCAGACATGGTGTCGCTGAACTCAATTCAAATCTAAAAATGTCTTGGTTTGACCGCTTCTGAAAATTTTCACGAGTTGTCGATGTGACGCACCAATCATTTTGCGACAGTTTGACCTTCAAGTGCTTTATCGGTAGTCTGGGTGAAAATATTGAAAATACTGGGTACTATCTCCAGATGGTACTAGAGAATACTTAGAATGATTTTTAGAGATTTCTGCATACTGTTTTTAGTGACTGTATAATGTGTGCAGAATTTTCGTAACTTCGCCACTTTCTTGCTATACCGTGTTAATTTGATTTTTTTTAGCGACAAAACTTCACTACATAGACGGCTTTGAATGACTAAATTTCAAACTCTGTTGTAAGTAGATTCAAATTTAATTGCTGTAAATACTCAATTACTTGATAATAGCATACAACTTATATAGCACTGCACTTTGGATTTTCTGCGATATACATTAGTCGTTTCACTGAATTTGGTTGGTTAAGTCAACATCACAATCATCCTGTACATTCATAGCCGGATTAGAGTTATTTGGTCTTTAGCCTAAATTATCGATATTTAGCATTTATAAGTGTGCTTATCATCTTAAAACGGGAAAGTTATGATATATTGACGGCCTTAAGTGAACCAATCAGAATTAAGATAATTCCTTAAATACTGCGCGACATTCAAAGTTGTCTCCCGTATTACCAATATCTTTGTCACGAGTTCCCATAAACCGGTCGATTTTTCTACACTCGCTACTTATTGCTTCGGTACAGTCCAAATATTGTAACACGGTAAGATAGACATGAATTCTAATTTAAAACTACTGAATAATTGACCGGTTAGGTCAATACATTCAACTTGTGAGATGCAGTTAGTTAGATGCTAATTGGTCCGAGAATTTGTGCATCTCATCGAGAGATGTTCTCCAGTGACAGTTCTAGCCAACTGACCGAGTTGGACATTGCAGTGATAAAAATTCATATTTTATTATTAACTAGATGAGAATTGAGGGTAACTGATTATTAAAATGCTAGGGATCAATAAAAACATTTATTGAGCATCCAGAAAGTTAGTTTATAGTAGTGCTTAACCAGACAAGTGAAAATTACTAGTTCCTATGACAGATCGCTCCTGAAAAGCCTGTATTTTAACGCGTAGTCGTGATACCACATTTAGTATTCTCCCTTCCTAGCTCCTCTCAGTCACAGCCCCAAGTTTATTGAGTTTGCAAACAGAAATGTGGCAAGGCATCGGATTATAACTGAAGTCAAAATTAATTTCTTCTAACTCAAAACTCCAGTCTTGCTTTTAACACCTAGTCCTAAACTTTGGAAGGTTTCTGGAAGTTTTTTAAATGGTTTTCAGGTCACCATATAACCATAAAGAACTTATAGCTTCGTGTTTTCTAAACTTTACGGGAATACAAAAACTTTTTGGGTTTATTTAGTTGATGGAACTAAACTTCAATGAAAATCTATTCTCGATAAAACAATGAGAAGACGGAGTTGATTTGAAAAATGTGATGTATTTGCGCTATACATTTCGAACAATCTGGTCACACATATACTTGTCAGATCAACTCCGTCTTCTCATTGTTTTACCGAAATTTATAAAAGGGACTAATTGCTTTAAAATCTATTCTATTAAATGCTCATCTCAGAAAGTTGTTCATTGCTTAATGGATGTACACATTCCACACAGTGTCTGCATAACTTAATGATTTATTATAGGTAATGAAAAGCTAGTAACGTTGTAACCACGCGTTCATGAAAATCAGACACTGATGTTTAAGCAGTAATGCCTTGGAGTATATCATGGCAACAGTTCGCTACACCCTATCAAATAAAACATATTTACATAGTCACTATGAATTCCTATTAACCCTCGGTAGTAGGATTATTCCATCAATTATTGCTGTCATTATTAATAGTTTGCGATGTTTTCTATGTTGATACAACATTCTAGATACGAAATCAATTTAGTGTATGCGATTCAAGTTTGCTTGCTCTCTGCCTTTCATGTTGTTACTTTAGATAAATTTCTCTGGTTCTGGATCCATTTTCTTAAACTTAAACCACCGTTTCTTCTCTGATGTTATGCGTTTGTGTTTTAGGTTACTTCTGTATTCGAGTTTCTATTAGCTTGGATTGCTGGGTATTTAATACCAGGATATAGAAATGCCCTAAAGAATCCTGTTCCTACTTCGTAACAAGAATGCACCTAAAACTCAGGATTCGTTTTTTAATAACAATATTTCTGGTACTATCTTTTTCAATTGCATTTATTTGGAGATTTCAAGAGCTGAAATATACCGAGTTACTAGGAACATGGACATTTAAAAGGGAATCTGATAAGCTTAAGCCAATTTTGATTAAATCTGTTGGATATCAATGTGACTCTCATAACATAAGTGTATTTCAAACTCAAATTAACATATATACTAAAGTCCGTCATCAGTCAAATTCTTGTATTAGCTGTCAAAGTTCCATAGTAGTTTTCACACTTTCGAAATCCTCACCTACAAGCAGATATTTGGTTCATATTATAAAGGTCTTACTGATCCCACATCATGTTATTTCAATGAACCATGCTCAACTAAGTAATATTTCAGATCTTCTGCATTCGATTTTACAAAACGAACAAATTAGGATAATAATATTCGAAAATTTCGCACTTTATACGAACTTACCACCACTACAAAAGTTACAACTTGACACTCTCTGCAAAAACTACAATATTGGGGTGGTCGGGTTTCTGTTCGATGGTGAAGGTTTCACTACTGAAGGTGGCACGTGGTCTAAGGTTGGTTATCCTCATTTTTGTGATTAAATAATGCAACTGATTTATCACGCCATTGATTTAAAATAGGCTATTACAAACGATCACTGTTATGCTTCTTCTTATACTTCGGTATCTGGGTGTACTGGGTCCAACTAACGCAACACTAAGCATTATGTTGATGTTGAATGACTAAGGTAATTCACGAGATATTTTTATTAAACTGTGAACAGGTTAAACAGTTGACATCGAGTAGCTGGCGGCCATATAAAAGTTACCCTACCTTTTCTACTATCTAAAGTTCCACTAAAAGTTTCTTTATCTGTGTTACATGCATGTTCATCAGTCCAACTACGTTACCTTAAGTCAGAATTGTGTTTAATAATCAATTTTTATGAACTACTAGGAGTGGTCAAAGTTATGGTACTTATATTGTCATGTATAGGAGAAGCGTGCATCACTTTTCTCTATTGAAGCTCGAGTTTAAAACACCCGTTCGTCTTCTCGAAAGTGATTATTAAGTACAGCGGTTCACTATGTCATTGTAATAAAGGAGCCATAGAGTCAAACGTTGTGTGAATTGTTAGCACTTAATCAGGGATTTTTTCATATCATTATTCATGTATTGTGTGACCGCTGAATAATTGATGCTAAATTTAGACTTTAAGTACCAAATAAACAAAATAAATCTGTTAATTAGGTTGACGGTTTTGTTGGAGGGTTGCAGATTTACCGGTTAATACCATAATCTGTGGTTAGTAAACTGGGGTTGAGTGATTCGAAATTAGCTATGGCGGCCCAGATACATTCATTTTTTCCCTATAAATATTGAACATAATACTATTCCACTCTTCATTCCAAAGTTCCATTCACTCTTTTTTAACTTTTTCCTTACGTTTAGTTTTGCATTGATGTTGGTATCATAGTGACCACTTTAAATTTCCTCACATGCCGATATAAATTGTCTTAATAACGATAATGTTAATGCTTACACAGTCGGTTTGGTCCAGTACACAAATTTATTTGAAGTTACTGCATAGTGCTGTTGTGTAGTGGAATTTTAGGTCACAGTTATCCTTAAGGTACAACCTCTTAAAGATATTCGTCTAAAACCCTGAAAGTAAAGCTGTTGTTGAATTAATAAATTTTCTAAAGGCTTGGAAACTTCAGAAAAATCATGAAATTGTTCTTGTTCGCATCAAAATGTCCTATTAAGTTGTAACTAAGACATGTGGTGCTCTTCATGTGTCCGACAATTAGGCTAATGATATCTATCCTTTCGAAACTTTCGGCAAAATTAAATTATTAGTTATTGAAGGTATCGTGTAACTAACTGTTTAAACCTTATAAAGTACTGACTTGAACACTTTATACTATTTAGTCTGAACAGTTTTCAGTTTTAAGCATAAATGTGAACGTTACCGGTTTAAAAGTTGCTTCTTCGTCACTTCTGTAAAAATTTTAGGAGATATGCTTCACTTAGAACTCGAGAAATTTATTCAGACAAGATATTTTGTGATCTACATGAGCTATGTGCTTAGAGGGTATCAGATTTCATGAAAAGTATCCACATAAAAAAATTATAGGTGAATTTTTCTGAACAATCCCTTATGGCGAAACTATTACGTGGAACTTCCTAGTACCTGTTAATTTGTCTTTGTCTCTTTCTGATGTAGATTTAATATGTAAACTTATTTCAACAGTTTTTGAGCTCAGCACATATTTGTGCCAACAATTCTTACTATTGATTTTATAATTATGTCTTCTTACTTTAAGATTGGTGAACTGCCACTCTACATCCATCGATTAAGAAAACCTCCACAAGGATTCTATACATCTCTGAATGCATCAATACTTAGGGTCACTCGTTCCGGTCGCATGAATCCTGACACACTTGAGATTGAAAAACAGATTAACGGAGCTGGAAACCAATCTCAAACTGTTTGTTGCATGGCAACGTTGGTTCCTTTTACGAACAACAAACAGTTCTACAGCACCATCGCATTTACTAAAACTGGGGAATATTCTAAACGAATACGAACTTATGACTCATTACCGGTTGATGTGGAGAGTTGTGCTGTAAGTTGATTTTAATGACGGGAATAAAAGTAAATAATGTTCATTACAGATTGCTAATATTTTTTCAGATTGGCAATTATAGTCATAGTATGTGCTGAGAATTATAGAAGTATAAGGTACCTTTACAAGTTTAGCATGAGTTTTTTTCTCTACTCACTTCTATTGATTATTATTAAGACTCGAGGAAGACATGATGTTTTCAATTTCACGGTCCAAAAACATTTATATATACATAGACTGTCATCCTATCATTAAATTCATTTCGAATCATTGGCTTTTGTTACTAGAATGCATTTCACGGATGAAATCTCATTTATTTTCATACTGAGAACTAGTTTCTAATGCTCAAATTGAGTGGAAAAAGTAAAGCAACGGTAGAGGCATGTTACGATAATTTGGAATGAATTATACTAGTGTTTGGCTGGGAATCGCTGACCCTCCATAACTGTGAGTGGGGACACAAAGATAGAACAGCTTAGGTATATACAAATGTTTTCAGAAGTGACCTAAAACCGAAGTTACCAGCCATCCTGTTTTGGTTTTATTTCACCCTGTGAATCGATAGTTAAGTGTTCTAATTTTAACTTGCTTTGGATGGCTTTTATTGATGCATTTATCGAAGTTATATGGTTTATTTTTAGTTTATTTGCAAGCATTTGTCATTTCAACTAGTACAGAATGTCTCTTGGGTTCTGATTACATTAAGCTTTATATGCTTAAGTAAATTCGGATGAAAATAGAATAATTCAATGTGAAAATCGAACTACTTTCTTTACGACTCAAACTGAGTACTTGTTTTTCATGTCATATATGCCTTAGTTTATTCTCAACACTTTATTAATTAATTTATTATTATGGTTCGCAACTCCATGCCACAAATTTTGAGATATATCTTTATACAACTATGTCTCAAAACTTGGGTAAATAGCTTTCAGGTCACCTTGTTGATCATATACGTATCCACTTAGCTGTTCAAAAACTTTAATTATGAAAAGAGCAAGAACAAAGATTCTAGAAGAATAGCATGAATTCATTTTATTTCGTAGGTTCTCGTCAGCTGCTTACAAACTGTGATATTTAAAAATCATAATTACATAATGGGTTTAAATTGCTTACTGAATATTGTAAATATATACCTCATGTGAAAGAATATTCTACAACATTAATTGTGACAACAGTTCAAAAGTGGGTTAGAAATAACTGATTACATAATGAATAAACGTTGATAGGAATATAGTGAGTAGAGTTTAGTTGAAAGATTATTAATTTGAAAGATAGTTGAAAAAAATAAAATAAAATCAATGACGTAGTAAATACAAAAGAAAAAAAGAAAAAAATTTTTTAAGGTGCAGTGAAGGAATATTTGTCACTAGGGCAATGAAAGATTAACCACCGTCTCCTTTTGAATACATAGGTCACGTTTTTGACGCCTAATGGCAATGGCTTCAGCAAACTTCAGAAGACTGGAGTTTGGCTGTTTATTAGTCACCCTAAAGGATTGTAAGGTATCTCCTGATGTCGTGTATCAAGGAGATGTTTGGTGATTGAACTATTCAGTCTTTATTTCCCTTGTTCTGGGGCTTTTTGGAATATGTTCAAAAAATCTAAGATATGCTCTCCTTTCAGTTCGGCCGATGTAGCTGCTTTAGCAGGTACACGTAAATTTCTAAATACAGTTGGCGGTAACATGAAAGGGTTGCTTGTCGATCTTTGATTGGGTTATTGAACATGTTTTATAGAGGGTTAAAAGTTTAGCAGCCGGATAAGTTCTGGATAGAGCAGTGTCCAGTCTCCTGTTGATTATTTGTGCGACATTATCACCTTTAAAGTTAAGATTTATATATACTGGTTTTTTTATTGACCGTAGTTATTTCCGTCTTGTTTTCTTTGGGCTTTCGATATTTGCTAATAAACTTTTGTAGATAAAAGTTGTCTTTTAGACATTTTTCTACGTTCATTAATTGTCCTTCCAGTGTGTCGGTGGTACATATCTTTTCTACCCTGTAAAATAGTGTTTTAACCAATGCCTTCTTGTAACTAATTGGACAAAAACTATTGAAATTCAGGTAGAGGCCATTCCAATTACTTTTCCTATAAACTGAACGTTGGACTGTCCCGTCTCCCCTGCGTTTTATGGTAGTTAAAATCTAAAATTGTAGGGAGATTCGATTTGTATGGAAGTACAAAAAATCTAGTTTGTATATATATTTCACAGATATCACATTTAATTAATTAGAAAAACACTAATGTTTAACCTCTGTAGAACCTGAAAACCCAAGAGTTTGTTTAAATAACCCTAAATAAAAATTTTTTTACTTTTCATATCATAAATCGTGTCTAATTTTTAGGTTTATTTTGATGATGATGTGATTACCAGTTGATTCGCTAATAATGGGGTTTCACAACTTTAATTATTTGAGATTGGAGGACACAATTTCTGCTTAGGTTTATAGTTAGGTCGAAAATGCACTCCATTCTAAAGTACTAGATCGAAACGAAGAAGTTGTAGCTATAATAATAAAGTAGATTTTGTCGGATATCAATCGATAACCGAAAACGTTGATCAAAATCATGTTTACCAATGTTAAATCATAATGCTCAAAGTAGAGCAGTAAGCGGATACGATCTAAAATCAAGTGTCATCAATAGTACAGTAGCTTGTCATCTATGGGACAATGGGAACGATATTTACATCAAATATCTCTTAAGTAAAATCGGTTGATAATTCAATTCAAGTTTACCTTGGCTTACGGAGGTCATTTCAATTAGGTTTAAGCCAGAAATTTGATCTGCGAATAACTTGTTGTTTGACTTCTAATTATCCTGGTAACAGTTTTTCATTATTTAAATTCCCATTTAATAATTATATTTTCAGTTGTGGTCAAAATTCGTTTATTTTAAGTAATGTTTTGCTCTTTGTATCATCTACCTATTTCTATCATTGTCTATTTAATCCCTAACATGGTCGGTTAGAATTTTCTCGGTAATCTTAAAATGATACCGCTTTGACTCTAATTTTCTCAGTCATAATGCACAATTATAATCCCACATTTTAACAGTTTTCTCCGTTTTCTAATCGACTACGAATTCCATAATTTTAAAGTATTGTTATCGTTGTCGTTGCAATTATTAAAACTACTACTGACGATGTTGATTTTGAAAGAAAGGAGAAAATCCGACAAATTTTAAGTGTGTTTTTGTCTATCAGGATTTTCCTGTCGTTCCTTAGAACTGTTATGAGGATTAAGGCAATTTCTAAGAAGTTGTAGATCTATATTCCGTACTTCATTTTCACTCTTGTGTAGATCTTATGCCGGTATAAATAGCCTTACGAGTGTTTTTATTTTATATTGTAAAAAATTTCAATGTATCTTTTATTTGCTGTTGGACGAAGTTTTACAAAAACATTTTGTGTCATTACTCTAAAGGATTACTCCACAGAGTCTCACAGTGGCACGTTTCCAGTTTACCAAAGTTTGGTTTTAGAAGATGTTGGCTTATTTGATGGAATTCAACGTGTTCTTTTTGCTTTCCGTCCTGGAGGAATTTGGTTGTCGTCGATATTGCTACTTGACACTATTGTCTACCTATCAAAAGGTACTTTCCACGCTTCTCCACCATCGTCTCATCCTTTCAGTTCGCAGTTTAGTGGTATTGTCTCAAAAATGAACATATCATCATGTATGTCTGACATTGCATATTGGTTTCAATGTTCTTTCTTTTGAAACAAATAAAACTTTAGTTCAATATATTCTACTTGTAACTGGTTATTTTATGGATTTTCATCTCGATATTTGACGTTTTTTCATACAATGATACACTCTCTTTGTTTCATCTTCTACCCTCTTTGGTAAGTTACTATATTCTAGAGTTGAACAGTATAACACATGGTAATAGTTATTTTAGTGTATAATGTAGTGCAGATTTTAGACATCTTTCGTCATTCGGATCTGAAAACTAACAAAGTGATTATCCCGTTTTATCTCTCAGTTCTTCATACAGTTGGATCAATGTAAACCATTGAAGTATATTTATGTAACGATATTTTTACTGATAGTTAATTTCTGTTTGTGTTCTGGGCAATCCGTATATTCTATTTTCGTGTGTTGAAAACCAATACATAAACCAAATGTCCTAAAGGCATTCAGTAATATGTAACAGAAAGTAATGGATCATCTTCCTACGGTAAATTTGTCTCAGGATCGTTTCTGAAATATCGAAGAAGAAACACCTGATTTCAATGTGATATTCACAGAAAAAATACATTAACATCGAAGAAGTAAGCGTCCTTAGGTATATATAGTAACATGTTGATTGTGTTAATAAGCCTCTTATAGTTCTGAGAATTACGCTAGAACACTTAATAGTGTAATATCCTAACTCTGCATTGTATTTAGTATTCAGCTATGTTTAAGAATACATGAGCTGCTTGCTTCAGTCTTGGATGGTGGCAGACGTTTTGTCGTAATTTTGTATAAATTCAAAGATTTGAGTATTTGTTCGTATCTTTATGACATAAGGTTTTGTCAGTTTTCTTTATGTACGGTTACAGCTTCAATTAATTATTTATATTAAGAATAGGATAGTGTGATTATTCGCGATTAAAATGACCTTTAACAGTAAAACATTGTAGCCTAGTTAATGTGAAATATAGAAACATCTTGGCCTATTTCATAACTGACAAGTTATAAACCTATAAAACCACTATTTATTTATGTTGCAGAAACTTTATGGTACTTAGTAACAGTTAGCTTATGAAGCAAACCGAGTAATTTTCTCAACAAATTTCATTTGATTTGTAATTTTCGGCTTCAGTTTTAAAATTTCTGAATGTCTAAGGGTTCAGAATAAGGAAACTCAATCTTACTCCGCAAATGTTGAGTTCTTCAAATAAAAGAATACGCTCGCTTACTACAGACTTGTCACATTGTAAACAATAACTTCCAACGTATCATCCACAATAGGGCACTGTGATAACAGTCAGTCACTGTTTCCTATACAAAATATTTCCAACTGCGACAAACACTACATCGGACAAAGCGGACGCCCCCTCCACCTTCGCCTACATGAACATCAATTAGCGGTCAAACGCCATGATATCTCGTCACTTATATCAATACACGTGGATAACTACGGACACTCATTTGATTGGAAAAATGTAGAAATCTTAGACAGAGGAAACTCCAAAAACACCAGAGAATTTTTAGAAGCCTGGCACTCGGGTCAATCAGCAATCAACAAACATATTGAAATCAATCCAATTTATCAACCAATCAGGAAAATCATGCATAAATATACGAACAAAAACCAAACCAATGGGAGAAACACCCAGAACAAAGAAGTAAACAATGATAAATTTAAGGTCAATAAGAACCAATCAACATCGAGGTGCACAGAACGAGCTGTGAAACACATATGGAGAAATTCGAACACTTCACTTCTATCTGAAGTTTGTGCTGATGATGTCGTTCAGAAGGACGATGAAAGCTCCACGACCAAACCATCCAGCTCAGAGAACAAAACTCCACCAAAATCATCCACCCGAGCTACAAATCTCCACCATCTCAATTTCTAGGCTCTATTTCTCTACTCCAACCAACCCATGTATTAATATTAGTCTTCGATTGAAATGTTTTTTTACTTCACCTTTCTCTGAACCTTTATTTCAAATACGCATTTTATTCCAAGTGATATAAACTTGGATAAAATCATTGTAATGCTCGATAAATTTTATATATTCTCTTGAAAAAATATGAGCATTTTCAATTTCTTCAGAGAGAATATTCTCATTAATAATTACATCTGGTCTGTTTAAATACTTTGTAATTATTCAAATCAAGTTTCCTGAGGAAAATAAATATTAATTTATTAGAAGACTAAATAGTCATATTACCTTTGATATTTATTTAAATATTATTGTTTAAATAATGCATTTATGACAAAAGATGTAAAGATTCTTGTTCTAGGAATTGTCTGTTGTATCTATCCTTGAATTCTTTAGGGGTTGATTCAATATAGGAACTTCGCAAACAATATCAATAACTAGTTCACAATTAAAATAGGTTTTCATCGGAGGAATTTTTTTAAGAATCACCACCTACCCTGGATTTCCTGCCTAACTTTTCCTCGTGGCGTTCTTCCCCTACAGATTAATATAGTTATATTCATTTTAAATTAGTCTTTGTTCCATATCACATCGCCATTCACATCATAGTTGGACAGTGAATGTTTACGTATGTGCAAAAGATATATATCTCAATGAGTTAACTGTTCAGAGATATAATACTTTACGCTTTTATATAACTTAACTGTACATTTGTTCCTTTTGATTTTGTTCCCTCATAATTATTATTTTATTTTTATTCAAGCTTTAAATGAACTTGATTTACTGCGGTGGGTCCTAGTTGATATTGATGATGTGTTTGTTCCAGATCGAAATGCGCATCAGTCAACTGATGACATAAATGTAAGTTGTTTTTTATGAAGAAAAAAACCAGACTTTCTTTTAGTTTATATCCAAGTAATTCCTAAAAGAACTTCATTAATTATATGATATTACTTTGGAGTTGCCCCTAATGTAATGTCCGGGAACAAGACTGATTTATCGAGGTTATGACTTGGAACTGAATTCTGTTTACTGCCACTGGCGCGACCATTTGCTGTGACTGTGGAATAACTGCTACTTATTACAAAGGAACGAGACTACCTTGTTGACTCAAGAGAGAAAACAAGACTGTATATGTAACCTAATTTATTCACCACCCACCAATTAAATAGCCCCCAGATGCCATGGTACAGCCGAATATTTAACTAACTTGTACTTAGTACTGAGATCCCGAATCCGACGTTGCATAATAAGAACACAAAGACTGGTTACATGGATTTATTTGACACACCTTTCTTATATGATTTCTTTACAGTTGGATTTGTATAATTTAAAGTGAGTAGTACTTATCATCAAATAATCAATAACGTACTATGTGAACACATTTAAAATATTATACAGTAAAACATCTAACATCAAACAAATATAACTAACTGACAAAGTGCCCCCAAATGCCCTGGTACGGCCGAGAGTGGGGAGAGTCCGCTCTCCCTCTCGAAATGCTCTCACATGGCCACGCGTATATGGTCTCTGCCAGGGAAGTCCTACTCGCTGCCTTCTCGTGGCGGGGGTGTTGTTTACGAAAACGAGAGGACGAAAAGCGAATGTCCGGCGCTTTAACCGGATTCCAAACCAATGGTGCACATGGGCTCCAGTATCCTGAGGGAACAAATGGCGTATGAACCAATTGTTGGTCACCGGCTTCCATGGGACTGCATCTCCTTACGATGCTCCACTGCCTTGTGGATCAGACCTTCAGGTCGAAGGCTCGGGGTGTGGCCCCCTAAGAAAACCACCTGCTTCGGTTTGGGCACCCGGGCAGTATCACAGCCCTCACACATATCGAATGAGATTTGTGTGGCGCATATGTATTTGGTGCCTCCTTGTACCAATGTCTATGTGTTAAAATAAATAAATAAAATAACTGACAAAGTTATGTAATTGCTGTTTCTCAAAGTATGATTACACGTGAGACGATTGGGAAAAATCAATTTCATAAGTCATTCGCACCCCAATCGGTTAAGTCATTGCTTGTCACATCAGAGCATTAATTTAGTAACCTAGTGATCATTCGTGTTTACCCTCTTTCTTTGTCATCTTTAAGTTATTCTAAATACTACTTTATTGCTTATCCTATAGAATGGTATGTTTGGGTTCTTAAAAAAGGCACTATACTTTATTCTATTTACGAGTATTGTATGCAAATAAATTGATTTACTATATTTTTAACCAATTATTCATATGTGTCTATTCTAAAAGGCTATGATCAAAGCGCAAAATTACTGGCGCACTTTTATACCAGGATTTACATTTAATCTGGGATTCTGTGGTGCATTTCTCAGTAAATCACGTTGGTCAGATAAAATTGTTTACAATTACATTTTACGTAAGTATATTTATTTTGTCTCAATTATCCTGAAAAATTGCATTCATTGTGGTCAAAATGGATTACTCCATCCCATCTTACATTCCTACTCTTTCATAAAACTGACTAGGTCCCGCAAATTTTTCAGGTTTTTCTTTCATATTTCGTCAAAAGAGCCTTTATATTACTTCGCTCTAAATAATTGATATTAATCCTGATATGATGAGTAAGTTTTTGAGATCGTATTTGATTACCTAAGTAGTTCAGAAATTGACAACACGTTAGTTCAGAAATGTTTGCTTTCTGGACATACTATTAGTGTTTGCGTAAAACGTTTATAAAACGCATACTTTAAATTTGATTAGAAACATAATTTTTTAGTCTACCAATGTATTTTCTGTCAAACTATTCGAGTCATCAATTTTCTCTTGAATGATCAGACCGTCGGTAAACTATGATAAGGATGTAAGATCTAAAGTTTTATCTTGTTTTTTACTGTATGGACCAGCTCATATATTTCACTTCATTTCCAACGTTTGAGGTGTGACATATACAGTGGTGGCTTTCAATTTCGAAATTCTCATCCTACACTTACTCTTACGTTCGCCAAAGGGAAGCAAATATGATTGGTCTGATTCTCTTTAGTGTGATCCAGTGAGACCCATGTAGATTTGTGTATGCCTTTATGGAAGAATATTGTGCCGCCTACAACCATTTTGTTGAATCTCATTATTCTCGTCTCTTTCTCCTAGTCCATGTCATCCCATGATATCTTCATATCCGGTGTTTTCCATTCTGACTTTGGCGTTTAGATCTCCCACCAGGGTGATTAGATCCTTTCCTGAGCACTTCGCCATGATCGACTGAAGCCTCGTAAAACGGATCTTTATCGTCGTCGCTGCTATCATTTGTGGCTGCATAATACTGGATAACATTCATTGTGATCCCCTCCTTTGTTTTGAATGGTGCCTTGATGATCCTGGAATGATGATATTCCCATCCTATGAGTGCTTTACGTGCTTCTTTGGACAGCATCAGAGCAACTCCGTGTGTGGAGCATTTTCTTCTTGGTGACCAGAGTACAATAACACTTCTCTCAAAGCTAATCTTTTCTATCCAGCATGGGTCCAATGGGTTTCACTTATTCCGAGAACCGCCAAGTTGTATCTCTTCATTTCTGTGGCTGTTTGATTGGTCCTCCCGGTCTCCAAGATTGTCCGGACATTCCATGTATCTATATTAATTGTTGCTTGGTCGTTAGGAGAGATATCGGTCTCGTGAATCCAGAGGAATATCGGCTTTCACCACGAGACGTCATAATTCTCCTAAATGAAGATTCTCCAACTTCCAGGATAGACTTCAAATGGTTTGAATTATGTTTTCTGGTTAGAGTGTTTTAGTAACGTTGTCTTCTACGAAGCGAAGTGGCTGACCCCATGCCAGACCCTCCTACTTTATTCGGGCTTGGGACCGGCAGTAACCCTTTAAGATCTACAGGCGGAGTTTTTTAATGGTAGCCTAAATGAAATTAGTCCGTGATCTCATTATTTCAAAATAAAGATGTTTACAACTTTTTCATCCTGCTAACTTCTATTATATTTTAATAGTGGATCAGTTAATGTTCATATTCATCTCTCAAAAAGTTTTGAAAACTTCAGAATTTTACCTGATTTTTACTAAAAATCGACTAATTTTCATTTTCTTTTCACGTTGAGATCTTTCATCCTTCAAGATTTATTTATTTTTAGAAAAAGTGCATGAACCTTAATCATCTAGATTAACAATAAAACGCTCATTTTGAAGAAAGCAAACTTTAAGATCAACGATATTAGCAACAATGCGATTTCTCTGTATTTTAAATGTGACTACTTTTTTTTCCGCCAGAAAATCGCCATAAATTTTGGTGGTTTAGTCATTTATGGCATCATGGTAGACCCCATATGATGAATAAAACATTTATTCAACAAGATATAGAACGCAATCAAGTATTCGCCAAGGTAAGAAATGGGATCATTTGAATTTTTAATGACAAAACCAATAACCTCAGCTATAAACTTGTATTCATAATACATTGACGTAAAATTAGTAAGCAATGTGCAAATATTTCATATTAGAAATGTGCTTTTCAAAACTTCTCACACTTTTAATGACGAACTCGTCGTCGTGAGATCACAAACAGAGTTAGAAATCTTTATTGATGAATAACTTGAAATACGAGCTAAATAACCGTTCGATATCTTTTTGTCGTGTTATTTATATAGTTCTATAATAGTCCTAAAACTGGTTTAGGAGTACCATTTTACTGGTTTGCTCCATCGACTTGAGTTAGTTATTTTAATCTTGCCCCATATACCACTTTGTAACATTTAACTAATGTCACGCAGTATATGTGATATGTGACCCGCTTATAAATTTACTCTTGGTCACTAAGTTTTATGTTCATTATCGCTAATTATTACAGCTTCATGGTTTTTAATGAAATACTGTTGGTCTATTCCAATGGTTCATTTTAGGAACATGATATTCCAGTTCAAATTGGTTATTCTGTTGCGCCTCGTCATTCTGGAGTTTATCCTGTATATCCTGACCTTTATGAAGCATGGCGTACTGTGTCAAATGTAAATGTTACATCTACGATACATTATCCTTATGGCAGATCATCTGATTTTCGTTTGGGTTTCCGTTACAATAATATTCAGGTAACATTTCTTGAGAAGTCGATGTAATGTTTTCGTGTTTTTGATTGCTACAAAATATTCTTCTATACTGTTCAAATATATCAGTTTCTGCTGTATATACGGTGGGTAGAAGTTTATACAATTAAATAACTGTTGAGATTTATATACTAAACTCCTATTCGGAATAAGAATGCGTTTTAGTTGGAAATAAAATATATGGTTTGTTCGGGTGTTTAAATCTGTGAATTCATTAGTTCATCTGTATTTTATGTGGTTTGAGAAGTTGATTTTTAGCCATAATATTTCAGGTTAGAATTTCGGTTTGTCAGCAAGTTAATATTTCTAACAATCGAATAACAAGCGTAACTCAAAGTTTCTTTTTTAATGAACTTATGTTCAGTATCTAATTCGCACCAAACGTATTATTAACTCAATAAATCTTCACAAATGTTAATCAGTCTGCAGCTTCAAGAGTAATTAAAGAATCTAACTAATTTAGGACGTGTACACCCAATATATTCAGTGGAATTTAGAGCGAATGATCGGGCTACCTGTTTGAGGGTACGATAGGTTAATACTTGCTGAATATTATATTGTCTTAATTGACAATAGTAAATATACAGATATCATATCGGTAATAATCTAAACTTCTATGTTAAGTTTCGAGTCACATTTATCATAGAGGAATTAACAATTCCATCTCGTTCCTTAGGCTGATTGACGGTTGCCGCTCGCTCACTCTATTAAATCTTGAGGGCCCACAAGTGTTTTAATATTTATGGAATTTTATCATAGCTGTTAGTCTAACTGAATATTATGGTATACAGTATTCCGAAATTTTCAAGTATGTGTGGCCAAATTCGATTCGAAACTTAAATCTAGATATGATGGCATTATTATATCTATGTCTTATATGCTAGTGAAGTGTAGTCAACTCTATAAACTAAACTGACTTTAGTAACCTAATATATTAAATGTATGGATATACCTATCTAAGAGATTGAAAATGGATGTTTGAGTTTTGCAGCTACCTTAATTGGTCCATTGTATTTGTAACTGGCATATTGATCTTGTAAAATATTAAACTTGAGACCATTAAGTAACTGACTGATAAATCTCTCAAGTACAATAACCAGTCACTTGACTAATTGATGATTAACACTTTACTCACTTGTTCGATGGTAATACTATAATGTTTATACCAGTATAAAACGTTCAACAATATGTAAATATCCCTAGTTTTAAAAACTAATCATTTTTCAATGGTAGATCACCTAAAATCTTGTTTATTCAAATCAAAGGTGGCCAAATTAATAATGCTCAGCTTTATAAGTATATGGTTAAAATTTTAAAATAATTCGCTCAAAGACCTAACCAATATTATCGTGTCATTGTAGGTTCTTCCTCGTCAAACCTGTGGAATTTACACTCATACACCTCATTCCGAGAATATACGAGGCGGAATAAAACAGTTAAATGAATATATTTTCGGCGGGACACTATTTAGCACGTTTCTGTTCAATCCGGTACGTTCATTATTAATGTCATTCGATTATCTCTTTGAGATTCTATTAGTACACTATACCATACAAGTTCATATGTGTTTTAATTGCTAGTGTTGCTCGAAATCTGTTTAGCTAGTTCTGAATCAAGTAGACTAATTTGATCGATTAAATTGTTACATTACAAGGAGATAAAAAACTGTCTGGAAACTTGTAGAGCACTTCACAACTGCAGAGTAGTAATAAATTAAGTGAACTACTGGTAAATAATGAAATCAAATCTGAAAAGAAAGGAAATCAGTTTATTAACATTAATTTCTTTAGATCTGACTTTTAAATTTAACATATCTCATCAATTAGTCTTACTGTGGTGTGTGCTACTGATATTGACAAACATGTATGTATCACCAACCAAAAGTGAAATGCATGGCGGCAGAAGGTTAAGGAGATCGAAGAGAAGAGAATGAGAACAGAGAGTGCTTGGTGTGGAAACAAGGAAACAATCAATTCTGAGACAATTGATTGGCATTTTGCAAATGAAGTGTTTACTGTATGGTTCTCAGATTTTACTAAGAAATTGTGTAATTTTGTATTCAAATACGTTTGGTTGTCCCCACTTGTGTTATCGTTCACTATACTACTACACGTGAACAATACTTGAAACGTGTTTATAAATCTCAATATGAACTGAATAGTGAGGAAATCTTTAAAAATCAAGCATAAAGAGAATGATCATTGATGATTATTAATATATGACAAACTTTATAGACAAATAACTTATGAAACTATTACCTACTAAAACATTGGGTTTAAACAACAACCAAAACAGTTGTGATCTGGTTTCAATTAAATCGGCAGTGTGTATTATACTCGTACTTTTGACAAATTTATACAGAACCAACATGTATGTCATAAAACCTATTATGCACTGTATGGTATATTAATATGCTGTCAACATCAAATATTCAGACAGAAAGCTCATATTCTAGTTATACTTCATCAATTTAATCTAATACGTATGAATAATAGTAATGAGGTGTTTCGGTCACTTGTTATTCTCATCCAGCTACCGTTTTTCCTTACTAATGACATTAATTATCATTGTTAGAAGTAATCAAACCAAGGTAGCACTAGTCTATGAAGTTATTTATTGTTGGTCTGACCTATCTAGAAGAATATGAACTCTGATGTAGTTTCGCGGGATGATCGTCATGTAGTTCAAACTAAACTTCAACAGCATAAACCCACCACCCTATTTGTTGGATGCTAATATTCTTTTAAATTTTTCTGTCACTCAATTTCATTCTTTCCGAATTATATTTTCTATACTTATTTAACTTCTACTACCGTTTATATTATCATTACTACTTGCTCACTTTCTTCCAGTCTGATGCCTATATGTTCCAGGCCCTCGGTAATTTATGAATTGGTGATAGATTAAATAACGATAAATTATAATTCCTATTAATAAAATGTTTTGTATTGTCCGATTACTTCTATTGTAAATATAGTAATATCATATAGTATTGATCATAATACTTATTATTTATCTTTATTACTCAGGTGTCCATCTTTATGACACATCTTGTCAATTATGGAAATGACCGAGTAGCTCTTTATTTATTTAATGCTATTTTTGAATTCATGACAAATTGGACGAATATTAAGCTAATTACATCACCTCCTTCGGAATTAGCTAATATCTACTTCGAACGTTTCAAATTATACGGTGTCAATGAACTTCCTTTGTATTCAGATCCTTGTCTTAATTCACATCTTCATGAGTTATGGCCAAGTGATTGGCCGTGTGGATCAGATCATTTACCTAGTTTTATTATTATTGGACCTCAAAAAACTGGTTTGTTCTAAATTTACAACTGTTTAGTTTTTTACAAGTTCTCTTTATTTTGTATATATATTTTTTGAAAATTTATTTTATCGAATTTAGTGAAATGTTTTTCTCTTCAGCTACATACAAAATAAAATATTTAAATATTTCTAATTCTTAACATAATTTTTGAAAAACTCCCATATTACAAAGTACTCGCTTATATATACCAGTTTTTGAAATCAAGGTTTATTGGAGGAATGAAACAAAATTGTTAAGAAAATAACTAGTAGTAATGATTCAGCTAATAGTTCAATTTGATGAATGTAAACAAAATTTTTATTTCAATTAAATTATATACCAAACAATGTTAGACCACTGTTGGAAACCTGAAAGCACTGAACGACCTCTTCATCCTAATATGGTATTCCTCGGTAGTGTGCACCCACCATCCCGCGCGCAAGAATTGAGCCTAGGACCTTCGGTCTCGTACATGGACGCCTAACCTCTAAACCACTGATTTGGTAATCCAACGATACCAGTGTTCAACTTTAAACTGTTACTGTTGGAAAATGAATTGTCAGTTATTAACAAATAATCCGTTCACAATGTGAAAGGATTTAAGCACTAAAGTTTAATAAGGCTTTTATAATTACTTGGGCTGATAGTTCTAGAATATTTAAGATAATTTTATTAATTAACATGTCATAACTGTATTGAAATTACAATTAATTGAAGAAAATTTAAAATGTTTAGTTAATTGTAGCCTATATATATGGTGCAATTTCATTTTCTTGTTTTGTTTTTGTCAAATTTTTATATAGGTTCTACAGCTTTATTACATTTTCTTTTATTAAATCCTGAATTAATGTCTAATAGATTCCAACATGATTCTACTTTTGAGGAGTTACAATTTTTCAGTTCTGATGATATTTATTCACGTGGTGTACATTGGTATATGAACCAGTTTCCGAATAATTCAATTATATCTCCAACGCATGCTTATAATTTTAACAATAATAGATCTAATTATTTAAAAAGCTATGCTGCTGAACAAATACGATTTGAAAAATCAGCTACGTACTTTGATAATCCTAAATCTCCAGCACGAATTTATGCTTTAATGCCCAAGGTGAAATTGATTGTTCTTCTACGCAATCCAATTGAACGAGCTTATTCATGGTATCAAGTAAGCTTAAAGAATTTTTGTTATTTTATGTCAATCTAATCCAAATCTATATGTCTACTACATACATATAGAGATTTATGCATTTCTCTCACTGTTAAGTTTGTCCTTAGAGTTGTTCATTTTAAAAATATATGTTATAATATCCAGTGATTTTCTGTGCGCTAACATTTACGCTTTTTTTACTAACTCTGTTAATCTATTTGAATAATCTTGTCTATTTACTTTTTTATTTTGAAGTATTTTAAATTTTAAGAAATACACTATTGTTCGAGTTCCTTCTTTATCTAGTTACAATCTTGCTATGATTGATTAGTTTGCATATTTGCTATTTCTACTGATTTTCGAATTATTAGTTATCGTGTAAGAATGAATATGAATTAGTTCAACTGGAGATTACGTTTAGAGAATTTTAGGTTGATCACTTCCAAGAGCAGCGTACTCGTAATGTAACCTAAGAGTCGTAGCCTTTACTTTAAGATTTATCAGCTCTTGATATAAATCAACACCGCGATTACTGTTTTACATTGCCATGAGTATGACTGACTTACAGTATGTATCTACCAATCGTATTTCCCACTGTAAACATTACTTTTATTTATGTTTTTTCCATACAGCATCGTTTAGCCCACAGAGATATTGCTCCACAGTTGTTGTCCTTTGTTGATCTGATGCAGTATGGTCATAATCTAACTGAGGCTACTCTACTTAGCATTGTACCAACTGATAGATTTTCTAACCTTTCTATCGACATTAATAATTCAAGTTTAATGCGACAACTTGTTTCAAGCATTAACCACTTATGGTCTCGATGCACTGGTCCAGGGAATTACGAACAATATTTACGTAACTGGCTGACATATTTTCCGGCCTCACAGGTACTTATTCACTTTGTTCATTTGCTAGTTTACTTTTTTAAAGATGAAGCATGTTTAACATCCATTTTCGTCTACTACAATTTACAAACATTATTGGGAAAAAGGCTAAACCGATTTATCCCTATTTCTTCCAAGTTAAATGGGTTTATTTTGATCACTGGATACATCAGGTAATCATTTATCTTGTTTGTATAGCGTAAAACTGCAACAAAAATGTCTTGCCGTCTGCGTATAAAGCGTTTATCATAAGGTAATCTTCTGATGAGTTTTATACGTATTCTGAACAGCCTAAGTGTATTACAAACAATTTTCAATTGATAACAAAGAGTGATACACAGGCTTCCTGGTACTTCATAGCACCATATATTTATCAAATCGTGTATGAGTTATGATTCTGTAGAAAATTGAATCCACAGATTTTAAATATGTAAAAAATCTACTGATTTAAATAACCTGTGGATTTTTCCAGGTTTACTTTTGCTTCTTTTTATACTTGTGAGAACAGCTCACGGGTGAACTCCGGGAAGCTCTATGAAGCTCAGAAACAGCCGAAGATATTCCATCCAATCATCTTTAGGAAGGATACTCCAGAACCCCTTGTACTCGGATTGGAAGACTATAATGATGATTTCGTTTTTACTAAAAAACTATAAATACCTGGTAGTTTTATATCATATTTGACACTGTTTGACATAGCATTCCTTTCACTTGTCTTCTCATTTGCGACTTTGAGGGTTCTAGCGTTAGAGTGCTTAAATTGTACGCAGTATAATAAGAATCTAACCTCTAGATATAACAATACTAAGTATCATCAAGTATATAAACCTTGATTTTTGCACCCCATCAGCGTTTAGATTTGGAGGATTCCATTCAGTGCATCATTATGTTACTGTCACGCTAATTTATTTAACTAGTTGACTGATTGATTTTTTTCAATTCTTCAGTAATGTTCATTTTATTTCTATCGTTATCAACTGTTATTCTGTAGATGCCATTATTGAAAAATGTAATGTGAAAGTGGATCAGTGAAGCATTAGTTAAATCAGACAATTTTCTCTAGCCAAGGTTGTATAGTAAATGAAATACAAATTTAAACAGACTATGATGAATGGGCATTTGGTTAAATTTTATGTTACATAAGTAATAATAAATAATAAATAAATAATAGTTGTAGCTAATTCAATCGTATTTCAATAACTTGATAAAATGTAGCTTCTCTGGCTGTTTAGGTAGCATAGTGGTAGGAACCGATCACAATGGCTGAGTTTCTCCTCAAATCAAACTTTAGGAGTACTGAGGAAGTTATTGGATGTAATTAGAAGATTAGGAAACAGGTAAATATACCAACAGTAATATGTTAACTTTAAAAGAACATAATAAATGAATACATTTCTGTTATCAGAATCTACAACTAATCTGAGCTATTATCATATAACTTAAAATATATATATATATATATGGGTATTACTTTCTTTAGTTCCAATTTTATGTATATCATGTGTTGTTTCTGCAATAATTTATCCAAATATTTGATCTTTTCTTTTTTTTAACAAACTTCTTTTCAGCTCTTACTTTTAGACGCCGATAGATTTTCTCGAAACCCGGTGCCTATCATGAAGATTGTGCAGCAATTTATATTAGTTCGTAGGCAGTTAGATTATTCACAATACTTACAGTAAGTATGAAGGCATATTTCACAGATATATTTCTACGTATTTTACCTTTTATAGTTTCATAATGACTCCGGTCGTTAACTGATAACAACCATTGAACTAGAGTATTGGACGACTGTTTCGTTTTAGTTCAATGGCCAATCATGAGTACACATTATTTCACACTATTTACTATACAATAGTGATTTATAGCTAATTTTATAACTAAATGCAAAAATACATGTAACGGAGTAGTAGCACAATCAGTAATTTTCTCAAGTCATCATTGTGATCTTAATATTGGATGGTAATATTGCTTTTGTATTTAGTGAGAATACCTTTTCTTTACATGTACCTGTATTTCAGAAAATTATACTCGTCGTCGCAAATTACTCATGGAACAAGCAGCAAAACGGTATATATCCGAACTGATATGCACACCTTAAAACCTATGATTATTTTTTGCTATTCATTTATGCTTACTTATTTAGAAGAGTTGAATTTGATCGAAAGCTTCTCCTTAAATCATAGTGAGGTTGCTTACAGTAGATATATGAAAGATGCAATTGTTATTGCTCTCAAAAAAATGAAAGGATTATAAGAGTCAATATTTTAAGTAGTTGTACTTAAAATTCTGCACGAACTTACAAAAAGATTACCACCATTCCAATATTAAGTAATTCATAACCGAAAAGATATCATAAATCATCTACTTACAATATTAATTAAATAAACTAATATTTCACGTGTTGTAAAATTAAGTTAATCTAGAAATTGGGGAAAAAATATCAAGGGAAGAGATTTAGTTTCAATTGAATGCTTTATTTTAAGATCACTCAGTAGTACCTATCTATGTCTGTAAATTTCTCTCCAGTTTTCCAACTTTTAGTATCTAGGTTGAACTTAATATTCCTGAGGACTAAAAGGAATCGTACTAATGTATTTATTATTGCTATTTCATAGTTAGTCTTACCTCCGAAGCCATAACTTTTCATCAGGAAGCTGACTATTCTAACGTATTTTCAGTCGACTTCATACTCAGCATTGAGACGTTTGAATTCGTTTTGAGGCTGATTTTCAGCTAATATTAAACTTATTCAAAATATAACGGTAAAAGATTACCAAATAATTTATACACCAACCTGGATCGTTAAAAGATGTTGGTTGATTCAGTTGTAAGAAAATTAATAAGAGCTCTAATACCAACTTAAAGTCACTGAATAACAGGTAACCATTGCAAGTCAATACGTGGAGGATGGGTTCCTATAAGACGTTCAACTGAGAGAGATCTAAGTCACTGTAGTTGGTGGGTTTCAAATATGCTAAACGTGTATTCTAAATTCACTGTTATCCATCACCAATTTCAAGCAACTATCTAATACTATTTAACTTTAAATTATTCTATATGTTAAAAGATCTATGACATGACTTCAATTAAATGAAAAAACACAACACCCTTTTTTCTTACTATTTGTATTTAGCTTCAATCGTAAAAAAGGATTCTTTTGTGTGGTTACTAGAAACGCATTTAATTGGAATAATGGTTGCTTGGGTCGAAGTAAAGGAAGAACCTATGAACAATTAGATCGCAATATTTTATTGCCAAACTTAATGGAATTGTATTTCTCTAAGGCTAATCATAAACTGTATAGATTATTACAAAAATATCCTCTATGGAATAGTGCATTGACATTAAATACACATAAACTTCCATCATGGATTAAAATGAGTAATTAGCTTATTAAAGTCTTTTGTCTCCTGGTTAACTGCTTGTACAAAATATTGCCATTTCTGCATTTCTTGATTAATAAACTTCAGAAAATTAACTTTTCTCTTTATATGTAGTAGTGACGCTGTATATCATTTAAAAGCGATTATTCCTCTAGATTATGTACATTAGGAAAAGCAATACAAACAAATATGATGAGTAATGTAACTACTAAATCGATTTTAACATTAATATAAAAAATTGCACTCGAAAAACTATATCGCTCAGCAACATACATTTTTGATCTATGGATATATAACAGTGGAAGTAAAACGATGGTCGCTTGTGGATGTAAAATATGGGTTTTATGTGAACATATAGATCAGAGTCGTTTGGGTTACATAGAATATAAGACAAAGTTAGCAGCTTAACCCATTTTGGTCAATAGACTAATTATATTGATTTTTTTTCATTACGTGCTGGTAGCTATGGAACATGCATAAAGGGAGTTTCATATGTGTTAGTGAAAAGCCCTACATCAATTATTAATAATATTTTATTGCACTTAGACGTTTGAACATACTTCAATGGCCCTCATGTAATTATATAAGTCAGCTCTTGAAGATCATGTCTATGCAGAATTCAGGAACGACTACAGTGGCATGATGAATCTATTATCTACAACGTCCTACAATCTTAAAGATTTCAATGTAACCCCGACCGTGCGTTCTATTTCTAGTGATATTACCGTGAAGAGCACCTGGCTATATAAAGACATGCAAACAAACAACTCTCCATACCCAAGCTGGTTGTCAATAAAAATTACTATTTTAAGATCTAAACGTGTGCCATTTGACAAAAACAAATTCGTTGTATTCCTACGCTGTTTTCGTTATTCGGAATATATATACTGAAACCAGATAATTTAGTTTCATTGTAGGTCATTGTTAGTGAGTGAGATCTTCCAAACTAATAACCGAAATCACAAACGGGGATACGATACCGGTGGATTTAAGAAGACAACAAAGTCTTTATATCTTCTTATAAGTTCATTTAAACAAACAACATTCGCACTGATTTTAAAACCAACCATTTCCACAAATAATCAGAATGGGCAGAAACGAATTAAACACTTGTCGCCGTAATAGTCAAACACATTGCTTCTATATGTACAGCTATTCAGTCACTGATCCTATAGATTTCCTAATTTCCTTTCAGTCAAAAACTGCACTAGTCCTTCGGTTTGTTGAGTAGCCCTGGTTTCTTTTTGTAGTCACTTACCTGCCGTGAATGTTACGAAACTCCTCCCAATAATTAACAAGTCATTGCAAGATATTTCAAATGTTACATTCGTGTAGTATTTAGTTATAGGCCCATTTCATCTCCCAATGATGCAACCATACTGTGGGCTCCTAATAGTTTATGGCGTAATTTTTTTAAACAGGATCCCCACACTTTTTAACTACCCCTAATATTTTGCTGTTCCTAATGTTATCTTTACAATATTCCTATCTGTGAGCCACTAGATATAGAGACTGTACTTGTCGAACACAGTGAGACGGGTGTCTTCAAATTATATCTTAATTCAGTTTATTTATGGCAGCGACCTTATGATCTTCCTACTGTGGAAAAAAGAAACTCCCCTGTGATGAACCGTAGTATATGTTTGTAGCTTAGCGATGTTTGATACCTGAAACCCAATCACAAATTTTATTCCATTTGGCATACCGTAATTGATGCAATCAAACAAGACGATTAGCTATTAAAATATCTGTTTCTTCTAAGAACTCATACGCAAATGTGGGTGTATTTGCTATGTTAGTTTACATAACCCAGAAAGCGAGATGTTGCTAGTAAATCGTACCAACGTTGTGTTATTTTACCATCTGAATAACCCTATGCACATATATACGTTCAATGTGGTTTTTTGGGGAATATAAATAGGCTTTGAAACAGGGAAATGTAACTAAGTGTCTAATTTTCTTTAAATAATAAGTTCATATCATAACAAATCACTCAAAAAGTTATAGGAAGACTTCAGGATAAAATCACAGAATACTTTTTATTTACAAACTTCATATTGTAAAATGTAGTCAAAAGGTAATGATCTTGATGCTTCACATAAATTTCATCTAATAGACAGAGAGTCGTTCCAACTTCCTATCATGTGCTGGATTCACTCACTACAGTCGGTAAGCTTGATTTAAGATGTGAGCTCTGGGAAGTTTTTAATGAATTATTTCCATCCAGACAGCTGTATTCATTACCACCAGCCGTTGGGTCAAGTTGTCTATTTGAATGTTTGGAAGAGTGATCTAGCTTCCCAGAACCCGGTACCAAAGAGATTGTCAGTTTTAAGGGTGATCGATGATTATTAACTGTTCCGTTAGAATATTTGCATTCCAGTTGGTCAGATGAGGTTGCTGAGTTCTTGTACGAGATCATGTCTCCCGAAGATGACTCCAAAAAATTCTCCTCGGTTTCGGTATCATCATCTTCTAAACGTTGTTGTTCTGCTATGCGCCTAAAAGTACAAAAACACTATTTCTTAATTATCAACTCTTGTATTCGAGTTTAAGTTGATGATATAACATCACTGCCCTGACTAATGTAAGTAGCTGTTTTTGTTTCTTATAATGGTAGAGTGGAAATACGGGTCCCCAAATATCTATAATTATTGTCAGTGCATTCGCACTTTAGGTTTTACCAGTACGGAATATTGTGTGATACCCCAAATGTAAACCATCGATAATTTCGAAAGATATAACTACTACACTTAATATGTTCACACTTGAGAATAGTATTTCTCCCAACTCCATATTACTCTCGACATCCTCAAATACCACTTTATTCCATGCATATAAAAAATAATAACTGGCATTTTAGACGTAAGGGAAATCCACATTGAGTTTGCCACAAATTCTATTTAGATCCAAAGTTACACTAAGAATAAAATTAGGACTATTAAGCGTGCAACGGTGGTGTGAGGTACGACTGCACATGCTATCTGTCAATCTAAACAGTTCAAGGTTTCGGTTCTAAAATCTATTGTCAACAGAGAACCTGGCAATACTGCAAGAAATGAATTACGCTGATATTTTGGGTGACATATTTCGAAAGGGAGACAATAATTTGTTGGTTTGTCTCAATAAACTTTATTACGGTAGACTTCATAACAGAAACAAAGATACGAATAATTGACCCATGAAAGTAACCTTAGCAAGAACAAAGTTTCAATAAAACATCAATACAGAAGTGTCCCACTTACTTGTTGGCTCTTCTTGAACTGTTTCTTCCTAATCCCATACAATTAGATAAGTGGACAGCATAACGTGTAGCAGCAACCTTACAATTACACTTCCCACATCGACAGCAACTAGCAGTTTTGCTAGGGTCTCTGCCAGAGCCTGAATTCGAAGAACCATTGCCAAGATTATCCGACAAGTTTGTATTTTGTTCAGGAGCAATAATATGGAAATATCCTAATTTTATTGCACGATGCATTGTTAAAATTCCATCCATCAAACATGAGTCAACTAACTCATCAATAAATTCTTGCAGAATATCCTGAAGATCACTACGTGTTACAGCAAAGGGCTTTTGCATTTATGTCGTATTAATGTAGGTGTGAACTTCAGGACCGCTACTTGGTAAATAAAAAACGGAAATGTATTTTCTCTTAACGAGGTATATGTATTCATGTATCTATATTCAGTGAAGAAATACAAGTTAGTAAGTCCTTATGAAAGCAAACAGTATAACAAGGCCTCAACAATCTTAGAAGTACAAGATTATAAAGATGATGGGTTATAAACTGAGTTATCACTTTTACAAGGACAAAAACAATTATATACCTCATTATAGTAAGTATTGGTCATCAATATTCGAACACTAGATTTCCGTTTAGCCTGTATGTTCACTGATAATGATAAAATGCGAATAAAAACCATTTGAGTCAGGTGATAACAATCTAAACGCCAAGAAAGCAATCAAATAAGGGAGCGAAAAGCGCACATGTAAAACTTATGCTAGCATAACTTTTCCTTTAGATCCTATGCACATGGTGTACCTAGGTGTCACCAAAAAGCTAGCTAATTTTTGGGTAGAATTCTCACATAGAAGATTGCTTAACTTGAACTTATGTGCAATTAGGGACATAAATAATTTAATATCTGGTTGCGTGACAAGTACTCCCTCCGACTTTCAGCGTAAATGCCGTACACTGGACTTCGTATCGGTATGGAAAACTTCTGAATGTAGGTTGTTCCTTCTATATTTAGGCCCAGTGATTCTGCAAAATCATTGCCCCAACCTTTGTATCTTAATTTTCGGTGTTTATCGTTATCCATTTATCTGATTGCACATCCTAAATTACATGATACAGTTGTAGAATCTGTCAAAATGGACTTACGAAACTTTCTTAAGGAATACGAATGGTGTTATGGGTCTGAAAACTTAGTTTACAATGTACATTTCTTACAGCACTTTCCTGACGACGTTCGTGCACATGGACCTTTAGATAGTTTTTCAGGTTTTCCATTCGAGTCTTATATGAGACAAATACAAAAATTTGTGCATAATGGGTATGTTGTTACAAAGCAAGCAGCTCAGCGTTATGCTGAGAAAATGTCATTCTGCGATAGGCTTCAAGTTAGCCATTTAACTAATACTACCCCAATAGCCGCTAAGGAGGTCTGCAATAAACAAGTAATTATGTTTAAGAATAGTAAACTAACTTCATTTAAGCCTGATAATGTTGTAGTAGTAAACGAACAGCCTGGTTTAGTTACTGATATAGGGGAGGATGGACTACTAAAATTTAGGTCTTTCACTGACCCACGCAATTACTTAGAAGATCCTTTCCCATCCAGTGATATAGGAATATTTATGTGCTCCGTAGTTAGCCATGAACACACATGGGTATCGGTTAAGGACATTGACTGTAAATGACTTGAGTATAAATGTAAAGCTGCTACTAGCGAAGTTCAGTGAACGCGAACATCCGCATCAATTCGACTGCGGACTATCAAGTCAGTAGTTCCCTTTGTCATCTGAAGAGGAACTGCAGATTCTGGACACTGGTTTGCAGCAGAAAGAAACCAGGGACAGATTTGTAAGTCAACAACATTAATTTTATAATTTGTTCGTATCACAGATGGCCATGGTAACGAGGTTAATGGATAATGATCCTAAAACCTCAATGCGATATGTTTTGTCGTACCTCATGACACCTGAGGTCGCCAGTAATTTCACGCTACTTGGCACTTCAGAAATGCCGGTTTTATGGCT